ATACGTAAAAATTAACATACGTAAAAACAAACCCCACTGGACAAAGGCTATGGTAGTTGAGAAAAAATGTGTGTTCTTTGGACTTCTTTTAATTCTTGACCTTGTCATCACGTTTTACCAAGCAAGTTCTAAAGTGCCACTTTAGCAATATTAGTAGCTCCAGTACTGTGAAAGTATATAGAAAAGAGTTGTGTTTTACTTATAAACATTATTTAGACTGGATATAAGGAAGATATTTTTTATGTTGAGGGTGCTGAAACCCTGGCCCAGGTTGCCCAGAGAGGTGGTCGATGCCCCATCTCTGGAAACATCCCAGGTCGGGTTGGACGGGGCTCTGAGCAACCTGCTCTGGTTGAAGATGTCCCTGCTCATGGCAGGGGGTTGGACTAGATGGCCTTGAAAGGTCCCTTCTGACCCAAACTATTCTATGATTATAAATATTTCTGTTTTTACATCAGACCAGATGAAACCAGGTAATCCTGCTGTGAAAGCTGGCCATTAACTGTCTCAATCCATTCTAAAGATGCAGGATTTAGATGATTTTTCTTCCAGCTACAATTTGACGGCTATGTTATTAGCATTACTGTTTCACTTTTGTATGGTCCAACTACCATTGAAACAAAACTCTCCGAATCACAGGACGGGGTCAGAGCTGGCTGCCAACACAAGCAGAGTAAGGATGCCAATACATCTTCTTTGTCACCTTTTTCCAGTTTGCTGAAAATACAAAGTTACTAGGTGCTACTGGAGATTTGTGTTTGTGCTCTTCCAGGTTCCTGGAAAGTTGTTCTGACATTCAGACCAAGAAGGCAGTGTTGAATAGCTTCAAACACAGATTCATCCTATTTTTTATTACTCTTCCAATCCAATGGAGACAGAAGACACAGTAAGAGGTGTTAAAAGTCCTTCCGCTCCGTTTTCGCATCTGTGGCCATCTCCAGAACGCCTGCTTCCCAGGCAGCCAGCTCATGAAAATGAAGATGTACTAAATGCACACAGATGTGCAACTATTACTGATGGTGTCTAAGCCCCAGCACGCGTCACCCACTGACACAGACCTGCATGCTTCACAGAAACAATCTTATTATGGACTTGGAACATGTTTACAGCTTTTTTGGGGTAATAATTTTTTCTGCAAAACCCATGGAGCTACGTAACAGTACGAAGAACAGAAAACATATTTTTGGTAAGCCCTTTATTCCCAGGCATCTTCAAATAATACCTTTAACTACACAATATTCAGTACTCTCTACACACAAGGCAGCTCATGTTCCTAGGCGTATTCCTTGACTGGTGGTAACCACAATTACCTGTAAAAAAAGGGTTATTTTATCATGTCTTCAACATGGGTGAGCATGAGAGAAATAACTGTTATCAGGCAGTTTGGCTTCAGTCCTTCCCAATATCTTCTATTACATTTCAAATTACTGGTGATGAGAATCTACATGTATTTCCATGTTTAAATAAAATATTTGAAAAGGAACATTTTGGTGCTCCCGTGACATAACTGGATGCCTGGAGGTTCCCCCCCCGACTTCTAAGATGTATCAACCAGGATGTGCAGCCAAAGCAACAAGTAACTTCCACAGAAACAAAGCAGAATTTAAAGTCTTCCTTTGTATCCCAGTTATTTTATTGCTTTCTACGCTTCTGATGATAAAAAGGAAGAAAATAAAACCACTAATTAAACATACCACCAATTTATCTTCCGAGTTGATTTCCAACCTTAAGGAGTAGCCTTCACTTAGTTTTAAAAAAAAAAAAGGTACCAATATTACATTGTAGTCACACAGCAATTTGCTGATGGTGGTAGAAGCACCTCAAGAAAAATAACTCAGGAAAGTTAGTCCTCTGTTTCCAAGGTGGAAGAGAAGACTTGAAATCAGCCACACAACTACCCTGCATATTAACAACAGTGGGTGGACAGTAAGAGAAAGTTACACATTAAAAGTACATAAATTAAATAACTCTACCCCTAACCAATCAGAATTTGTTGCAATTTTCCTTTGGCCTAAGAGATTGTAAAGAAAAAAAAAAGAATACAGAGTAGAAAAGGGCCATTTGGTTTGATGCTGCCTTTGTCATACCTTGTACAACAGAAGCCCCAGGCTTTCAGCCCTGTCACCCGACGAGCAGGGTGCTCGTCACCTGTGCGGCTTCTGTGCCATGTACAAGAGCTCTGTGTGGTGCCAATTCCAGGGGACCTATAACCAACAGAGCACCGTGGGACAACTCATATCACTCCTAGTCCTGTTTAAAAACTCTTCAAGGAGGCATCTTTCTGTCCATTAACCTCCAGAGAAAATTCAGAAGTGAAGGTATGAATACTGCCTCCCTCCAGCCCCTCATTTTGATCATTGCACAGGACCAACAATAGCATCTCCTAAAACAAAACACCCAGTTTGAAGATATGAGACAACCTGCCCTGAGAGTTTCCTGCTAGTTTGTTCTAGTAAAAAAAAAAAAAGATAAGAATCACCACATTTCCAATTTATCTAGCCTTTATTTCCAACATAAAACCTTATTATAACTTTCTTTGGGCTGGAAACCTGCTTAATGCTCCTCATTCTTTTCTTGCAAAGGCATTCTTGTATTTGATCAAAAACATGACCAAGAAATGGTATTAACAGATGGACTGAAGAAGTATAGCCTGAGCTTTATATGCTCCCTATTAGAAAACTATTTTTTCCATCCCTTACATCATTTCCTGAGTTCTTTGTCTTTTCAATACCATTTTAAAAGGTGGACTCAATGGTGATTCAGTGCAGATACATCTCTCCATGTAACTCATCACTCCAAGAAATGATGTTATGGGTCACTTGTCTGGCTGTCCAGACCAAGGGCGCTTTCACACAATTTCCTTCCTCCTCTTTTGGCTGTTTTTCTCCCAGCATCATGAAGCCCCCTCCTCCCCTAACTTCAGCTTCCCCTTTAGGGTGAATTTCAAAAGGTTCAATCAGCAGAATGACGCTCAACTCCCAAAACAGCCCTTGTGCTGTCATAAAAGTCTTTTCAGTCACATCCACTGCCCTGTTTTCTGGTATCTCCGGCAGTGCCACCTTCATGGCCGAAATACCCCAACAATAACCACGCTAGGAAGATTTGCCATCTACTTTGCATCTCTTCTGCAAGCTGCATGGCCCTACAAAGACCCTATGCACAGAACCACCCAGGGCAAGCTGGCACGGGGCTCGCAAGGTCTCCAACTGACTGGCACGCTTCATTTCACATTACTCCTTGTTGCTCGGAAGAAGGGAATCCCAACCTCCCTGAGCTCTTGGTAAATTCTCTCTAAAAGACTTCAATCGGCCTTGTTAACTCCCTAGAACAACTGCCATGTTCCAGAGAGAAATAAATTCTAGAAAGAATAAAGAAAGAAATAAAAAAAATCAGCGTGTTAAGACAGGGACGTTCCTGTTCCTCTCAAAGCGATATTCTGCCGTCTCCATAGGCTTTGAAACAGAGACACCAAGACTGCAGAAGGTATAATTAACCCTAAATCAATGTTAACAGATGATTTAAATAAGCAAATAACCACTCTCTCTTCCAGAGTTATAAGTGGGCAGAACACTCCCATCGAACACCTCAAACTACTGCAGGAGTCTGGGGGAAAAGACATGAAGCTGCAAAAAGCACATCAAAAGAGCATTAAGAAGTGTCTTAAAATCTGTGCCCTCACCATCACTTTCTAGAAATCTTCAATTTGTGTTTACTAGCACCTCCTTTGACTTATTTTGGGAGAACTCATGGGGTCTTAAGTAGATGTTGCTGTTACTCCAGAATTATTTTATACTGGTTAAACCACCACTACACAGAAAGATTATTTACTCTCTGGTCCTTGTTCATTCATGGCAACTAAGAATTGACATACAGTTGCTTTACTAAATTTGCACAAATGATTTTCCCCGTGAAGTCAGTGACGCTACTAACTCCAAAACCAGCAGGTACCAAGGCAGACGTGTTGGCGCTGCTTTGGCATGTCTCACCTCACGAATAACTACACAGCTCCCACTGCTGCGTGTAAGTTTTTTTCCTTCAACATGACAAAAAGGCAATGGTTTACTATCCAGATTCAGTTATCTTGTTTTTAAGGGATTACAAAGCAGTTCCTCACTGGTTTTGTTTTCACTATTTCTTTGCTTTTAAAATTTGCTGCTTCTCTACTTCGGCTCAATTTCCAGTCTTCCGAAAAAATAATTAATCGAGCAAAAATTATTAGTCAAAGAATTATCCAACCGTGAGGAGAAGGAAGAGGTCTGGAAATGCAGACCAGGATGGGACAGAACAGTAAATTGGGATTCTGGATATGTCTTCATTTTTGTGCCTGCCTCCGTACCAGCACTCAGCCATGAAAACAAGCACTGAACGGTGACACAAATGCACGTTGCAATGGTGTTTTTTTCCCTGCAACTGAAAATAAGAGAGGATGAATGGCAGTGCTTCCAATTTCCCTTTTGATATAGTTTACTCTCACAGCATTACTGAAGACGGTATTTTCACGAGGCAGAGTGCCTCAAAGATGCCCAGTACAACAAGCAAGGGTCAGAAACACATCGAGCCGTACCCTCCCTCAGCGCTGTACTCGCTCTGCTTCCACTCAAACAAAGGCTCGCTACCACCAAGCCACCAGCCCAGCCACGCCACTGTTCTGCCTAAGGAAGATTAATATTAAACATCAAAAAGAAAAAAATCTTTAGGAATAGTTAAAACTTAAGTTGAGCAACATGTGGTATGAGCATTGCCTGTATATTGCTGTTAATAAGCAGTTTCCAATTTAAAAATATATATTTTTTATATATATAGATATATATATCTTGCAGCCCATATATCCCTCAAGATTATTCCAAAAGATAATTTAAAAAAAAAAAATCTGGTTTAGTACTTAATGAAAAGAGATGGATATTTATAGGAAGCATCTATCTGAAGTAATTTTAGTCTATGTCCTCCTCCACATTTGAGTTCTGCAAAGGCTTTCAGACACATAGCAAAAGGTACGCTCTTCAAGGAGTGCCACTTACTCCACATGTCTCATTCTGTGTTTGCATGGGATTAGCCTTTGGCTCCATGTCTTGCCTTTTTTGGTTCTGCTTCAGTTGGTTTAGAGAAGGTTTTGTCTGTGCAGCTCCAACAGTTTTGCTTGTCCACTGGTCAACCAGCTTGTGAAGATCGTCTGTGAACGTCCCTTTCTTGTTGTTACTGTTGTTGGCCTGAACCTGCAGGGTTGATTGCGGGACGGGCTCAGGACCCGTTACGAGACTGTTTGTCGAGGATCCTGGAAAATCACACACAAAGAAGGTTGATGATGGCATCTCTGCTTCACCACTTTACTGCTCAAATATTTTCTCATTTACTGCAATTCAAACAGTGGCTTTTCAGACTTTTATCCCTCCCCCTCCTTTCTACAGAACACCTTTGCTTAAAGAAATGGTCCAAGTGCAACGCGTTCATATTTTCTATCACATTATGTTACCTCAGCCACTAGTTGTGCCCACAACTTCTCTCTAGGTGAAGTTAGTGACTCAGAGAGAAGAAACGAATGCAGTCCTAGTAACACTGACATCCTAAGGCTTACAAAGTCTCTTCAGAGGAGGCTACCATGAGAGAGTGGGAGGCAGGCTGTATTACTTGCTAAAACTGCATGAATTTAAAAAATGAATTTACCATTTATTTTACTTGCATAAGTTTACTGTCCTCCTGGAAAAACATAATTGTCATATAGGTTCTAAGTAGGGTTGGCTACTACGCCTCAAAGGCTCCAGGAACCCACAATCTCTCTCGATGATGTGAGGGCCATTTACTCTGCCATCTGCATATTTTTGGGGAAAAAACCCCATCAGGACCCTTAATGTACAGAAGAAAGAGGTGAGAGGAGGACATAGTGGGAGTGTGAGTTTTTGAGACAAAGATAAAGATACAGAACTTTTGGTATAGATAAAGGCAGACAGGAAGAGTATTGACAGAGATTTAATTTTATACGTTCACTTATTTCTAGAGCTAAGAAAAAAAAAGTCTGTCCTTTTTATGTGTTGGTAACTACAAATCTGACACAGCAAGATCAGCAGGGAACAGCAACTGAAGGTGCTTGAATTTGACCTGAGCAGAAAATAAAAACTAATTTTTCAGTTAACATATTTGATATAGCTGAAGATTTGAAATAAAGACCATCTCTCCAAGCAAAAAGTTCATAGAACTGTAGTAAAATTATTATATAAGCAAACATGAACATTCAGTCTTCTTTTTTCTGTTAATCAGTTACCAGCCAATGAAACAGAGTAAACTAATTAGTCCTACTGTTATATAAAATACGTTAATAACCTTTAAATGATCATGCATTCGACCTGCAACATAACTTCTAAGTGAATGCTGCTCATTTCCTTTTCCTTTGCTTGGGGGAAAGGGACCAGTGAGAAAAATAAGTATTTTGACAGGAAAGTTCTTCAATTAGTGTTTAGTATTTCATGCAGCTCAACAGGAACGAGATCGTTTTAAGCTATAAATTCCTCCAGCAGAGAACTGCAGTCATATAAAGGTGTGTATTTCAGAAAGACAAACACTGAATCCAGTTTTCTCGCCGCATGCGTGCACAGTCTCACACACAAAGAATACCACAACTGTCTTGCAGCATGCGTGGTTCCCACGACATCACAGCACATGCATTATTATGAAATTATCACAAACTTATACAATCTAATTTCGTATCGGTATAAGTGCATCAGCTCTATTTATTAAACAACTAGCTTTTAGTAAAAAATAACAGTAATTTAAAAAAAAAAAAAGCAAAAAACATCCCATGCCATGAAGGAAATACTGAGAAACAAAAATGGGATAGTTACTACTACTGTGATCTTTGCCTAGACATAGTCGTTTCAAGGTGGACCCTACAAGGTAAAACAATACAAGACATACAGAATTAGGTAAGACTAGACACAACAAATCTGACGGACAAGCTTCTGTACTTTTAAGCAATCAAAAAGTAGTTATTATGCAAGAAAGGACAGACAAAGTCAGCAGTTCAGTGAGTAAAGGAAGCCTAAATAACTGGACAGCTCAAACCTTTCTTAATGTGCAGCCATTCAGCAGCTTTGAAAAGTACAATAGCATGCCCAAAGCAAGGTCTCACGACTTAAAGGTGCATTTGTTTGGGTTGTTTGGTTTGGGTTTTTTTTCCCTCCTCCAAATTGCCTTGGCTTCCTAATAGGAGGATTTGATTCCTACTCTATTTATGCAGGAAATGATGTCAATTCAGTTTGTGATAGGAGGCCAAAAATGCTTTCAGGAACAAGTCAAGCTAGTCTGGCTGCAAAGACAAACTGTAAAACAACGCTAAAAGTCCTGTTTTACAAGTCCAAAAAGATACATTGTTCTGCAGGTCTGAGGCCAATTGTTTCCAAATACTTTATTATTAGGATTTGTGTTTAAATGTGAGATTCTGAACTTCAATTAAAAGTAACAGTGAATGAGTTTCCCTTATGCCTTGTCCAAGTGCGGAAAAATAATCCAGCAGAGTAGCTGAATTTTCATTTAACCAAACTACATGTTTTTTTTTTTTCATTATTGCCTCGTTACATCCTTCATCATGATTTTACATATTCTGTTGGATCGACAAAGTGCCAGAAGTGTACCGAGAACCCTACTTGACTGTCAGATCTTGCCAGACATAAGCACCATTTCTATTTGAGTGCCAATTTCCTGAAAGGTATTTTGGACTTGGTAAGAAGAGTATCATTATGGTATGGGAGGAGATGAGTATCTGACATGGGGCATGGCAAGTTTATTGTGAAGAAGCACTTGAAAACATGAGCAAAATCAGAGAGGGGGGCAAAAAGCAAGATACAGGATGGATATGCTTTTCCTCTACAGGAAACCGGTGTCGATATTTTATGTTACTGTGCCAGAAACGCAGCTTCAAACTCAGATTGCGGGTCCTGGTTGACATAGGCTCTGAATGAGTCTTCAAAGGAGAAAGGAGAGACATCAGTCAGAGACTGAGGAAGAGGAAGTAAAGAAGAGGGAGGGAAAAAGGGAGAAGAAATGTTTGTGTTTTGATATGGGTGGCATGAGGAAGAACAGGATCACTTTGAAAGATTTTTCTTATTATTTCATACAGTTTAATAAAGTTTCTATCCCACGAAAATCAGAAGGACATGACTACCGTAACATCTTATGCAAGTTCAGTTTCTCAACTCAAAGCCTACATAACAAACACAAGTCACATTCACAACTGAACAATCCACGCTGTATTTTTAATTTCCTCCCCCTCTTTCTCCTCAGGTATACCTTACCTTGCCTATCTCAAAGTTAGCTAGCAACTCCCATTACGGCAACATCAGCGGCAGTAATACTAGAATGCTGTTTTCTTAACTATCCTGCAGCATTCCGCATGCAGCAATAGGTAGCGTTCAGCACAGTGTGTATGCAAATGCAAAGCAACTGCCTGCGAGAAATAAAAGCAGGCAGCTGACCACAGTACGTGCTCAAATGCGTGTAAAAAAGTTTAATCAGCAACCCCTCCGCTTCCTGAAAAGCGAGTCACAAGTTTAGATGCACCTCAGGTGCCACATCAAACCTGGGGCCCCCACAGGTGTGGGAGGCAGCAGAACAGGGACGCTGGGCAGATTCACAAACACCCGCGTGAACGGAGCCAACATTAAGGAAAACTTTGCAGGAGAGTTAATCACCAAAAAGAGAGCTGTTTCTCCCAAACTGTACCACTCCAGCATGTTGCCTGAGAGATGAGAAACATTATCTAAGTGGAGATACTGCCTGAAGCGGGGACTGACAATCATCAGCTCCAATTGGTTTTAAATTCAAATTCAATTAAAAATGCACTTAGTAAACCTAATTGACCAGATTAATTGTATTACTTCTATAATCAAGGTGTTTAATAGCTGTAAAGTTAAGGAGATGAATCATAATTAAGATTTAATCTAAGACTGCAAAAGTTCAGCGGACTGTTTTACCTCCAATTCCAGATTTCTTATCTGAGAAATTAAGTAGCTATTATATCATACAGGACAGAAAAAATCCACTGTCCATTATTTGCACTCTAACCGCTGCCAAAAGGTTTGAAAGCTAAAATAAGATTGAAATAGCAGTAAATTGTTAGACCATTTCCATAATCGCATATGCCCATACAATATATTAATTACTACAGACCTGACAAAAATCGCTTTACACAAGGCAAGTCTAAGCCGAATGGAGCTTTTGAAAATTCCACTCACAATCAGCACAAGCTCTTCCCTAAGACGTCCTCACAATTTAACGCAGGGAAGCAGCTCAGGCTAAAATTATGCTGAAGCCCACCAAAAATATTTTATACCATGAAAAGCGCAGAGGAAAAGTCAACATAGGGAACAGACCAAAACACTGTGAAAGTGTTCAAGTTTGATGGAACTTGTAACCAGGGCAAGATACTTGGTAAAACTATCTTTAATGCACCTGAACATCTCTTGCTAAAAGCGTGCTGCCAATTTGTCTGCTAAGACAGGAGGGGCCTCACGCTGGAATATCCAAGCTCCCCAAAGGGCTGGTTTTCCTTAAACATACAGATTCAGAGCATTTCTGAAAATCCAGCGCAACTTTTCCCAACAGCTCTCGAACAAAAAAATCTCAGGGGAACCTCGACGTGTGGAGTAGAGCCGGGACCCCGAGCTGCTCGGACACGCCACCGAGCCGCCTGCACCGGACAGCCACGTCCCAGCGCCGCGCGCCCAGCGCTCGCTCTCCTTGCTCGCGCACGCAAAGATGCAAACGGGTTTAGCACCTGGTCCAAACGTTTGGCTCTGCCTGCGTCGCTTCCAGAGGGGAAGGAGCACGAGCCAGATGAGTTCCTATCACCACCATCTATCACTATTTTTCCTGAGGCTTGTGGTCACGGCTGCTCTGGGTACCGGCTGATGGAACCAGCAGCCGTACGTCCTTCCAGCAGCAGTCCCAGCCCCATCTTCACCCTTCACACACACACTCCCAACCTGTTGGGCTCACCGGGGAGACAAGCTAAAATACCTGCCTATCCCCATCAAAACCCAGCCGTAATTCAGCTGTGGAAAACTGTCTAGCAACTCGAGCGCCCGGCAGCAGCTGGAAAACTGAGGCACGCTCTCCGAGCAGCGCCGACTTTGGGTGGACGTGTCAGGGTCAAGCGCCTGGGACTCAAACGGGGGAGTGCAAACCTCCTCTCAACGCTTCGCCCAGAAGAAACCGAGAAGACAGCGTATGGGCTGAGAACAGAAAGCAATTAGTCACGCAGAGTTATTCAAGCATCGGGAAACTTCACGACTTGAAGGATTTACAGATTCCCTCGGTTTCATTCACAATATCCATGCGCCCAAACATTTTTAATATGATGGTTTTTAATTGCCATCTCCCAGTCTTTTTGCATCCTACAGAATAGTAATTCTGTGAAAGATTAATGAAACAACTTCTGGGAATTACATGTGCAGAGGAAAAAATGACTATGTCCATTATAATACCAAATGGGAAAATTTGTGAACTGAGAATTCCCCTCAGGTTCTCAGAAAAAAATCCCTAAATTCAAAATTGCCTCACGACTTCAGTAGTCCTTAAAAACTTGCAAGATAATAAATTCAGTACGCCGAGCAGTAAACATCACTTTTCAGGAACCTGAGTGCTTGGACTTTTAGGGACCTCAAAAACAAACAAACAAAAAAAAAAAAAACAAAAACAAAAAAAAAAATGAAGATTATTTTTAAAAATACTGTTTATTCATAAAATTAGGAGGAGTGTATTTGAGTGGTCTTGTGCCTTTGATCTGTACCACTTGGAGAATGAGCAGCAATGTAGAACTCCAATGGGAGATCTGATATTAATGCAAATGAACGGTTAGTTAACCAAACATTTTCTCAAGAACATTATTAGCCTTTCTAATGTTATATGTAAGTGGCCTATAGTACCTGTTCAGCACAACATATCTTTATTGTACAAGCAAAATCTGTTTGCCTAAAAAGCAGCATATGTAATTGGGTTAAAAGGTCTTAATTTTTAATTAAATAGCTTGATATCATTTGGTTGAATAGCCAATTACTTTAGGAGTCATACAAATAGCAGGTGCACAATTATTTGAAACAAAGAAATACTGGATCCTAGAAATCCATTTCAAGGTATCATCTGAAAATCTGATATTGCTTTTTACTTATTTATGCTTTGATGAACTGCTAATTGACTTCATCTCTGAGGTCACATAAGGTCATAAGAAAATAAACTGAGTAAAGTGCTTCAGCCAGATCAGCTTACACAAAAAGTTGATGGTACTCTCCCCTGAGTAACCAGATCTTCCCGCTGCTTACGAGTGTATAAAAAATTGTTCACTTAAAGTAATTAAAGTGAATGCATGGGGAAAAGCCCACCTAGAAAACAGATTTTGAAAGAGCTAGCTGGAGCACTATTGTCTCAGCATTTCCACATGCAAAGAGCGGGGAAAAAAATTAAAGAAAATAGAGTGGATATAAACAGTACTGTATATTGTGTTAATACAGCCCTTGTATGGAAGTTATACCCTCCAGTGACCTTCTAGTATTGTATCAGCTTGCTACATGCATGTCTTCATAGTCCAAACATGTGTGAAAGAGACCATTCGTCTACAGAAGGATGGATTTCTTTTTGTTGTCGCTGGAACCGGGACAGCAGACATGTATATATTTGCCACATTGCAAATAAAATTACTTCAACATAAATCACATAAAGTACAAAAGCTTTGATAAGTCCAGGGTAAAATTTACCATAAGGCTATATAATAAATGATAAGATCTTCCACACATGCTTTTGGTGCCCAGGCACGAGCCAAAAGCAGTGCAAAAAAAGCTTTCATATGAAAAATTAATATAAATAAGGTGTGTTCATGATGATTACTTAAAAGAAAGATAAAAAGAAAGAAAAGATGGTTCAGAAAAAAGGGGCATCCTGCCAAACATATCAGAGGTATAAAACATGGAATTGGAAAAAGGGGGTAAAAGAAAGATGGACTGTGATAAAATACAAAAGAACAAATACAAACAGATGGACAAAGACACAGGTCCACTGAGGAATCTGGTACGAGGTTTGCTACTAGATTTATAGGTCACTCTCTCAGACGTTTGGTGGAAAACCGTCCAGCCTGCAAATGAATATAAAGGGAAGAAAACAAAGACACTTATAAAGTACAAGTAGCTGTGATCAGATGTCCTATACCATCAGTCAAATCAGCTTTGTTAGTTAAACATCCACATCTCCATTTTAACTTTGCCAAAGAGGAGTAAGTTAATTGACCATACACAAAGGATGCAGTAACAGCAGAAGAGAACAGATAGATATTTTGTAGATTAGTTTGGCAGGATGTGCAATGAGAGGAAGGTATTTTAATCATCATCATAGCTTCCAATAAGCATGGCAACAAGATCAGTCAAAGCCTACGGAGGTGTGCAATACACAGAAGTATCAGAGGTCGGGACTGGGGAACACAACCAATCTACAGTCATTTAGCTGGGACTCCAAACCATGCACAAAGTTAACCTCTTAAAGGAAACATAACTTGGTTCTCTGGGTTTTTTGGTGGGGTTTTTTTGTTGTTGGTTTTTGGGGGGGTTTTCCCCCTTTTTTTTTTCTTTTCCTCCCCCTGACACGCAAGATGCTTTGGTAGTTTATAATGGGGAGCTCTGGGTCTACCAGTATCAAGGGGCCAAAAAAAGCCCAAAATGAACCAAAGGACACAATCTCCTATCCTCCTATATCTTTTTTGTTTTCCTTTCTTTTTTTCTTAGAAATATGTAAGGCAGACTCCAGAAAAGGTGGCAGTATAAAGCCACTGCTGGCAAAAATAAAAGGTATTTCCTGCCTAAAAATTAGCATGCCTTCTTGAGTGTCGACTCTTAACACTTGGTAAGATACTTTACTTTTGTTCTTCTGACAATACTGCAACAATCTTTTCAAAGATAAACCAATAATTCGGATTGTCAGAGGTTAATGTTCCTATACCCCTAGAAGTGAAATCCACTCCTAAAAAGTTCAAGCATAAGGGAAGCGAACTAATTTTAGCATGTGCTGGAAGACATGCTGAACAGCTGGTATGAAAAAATCACCTTGGCCAGAGCTTGCGTTCACGTCACCTCCTTCGGGGCCTAAGCCGGAGCAGATGTCAGAAGACAAAGAGGCTTTGACAGAGCACGGCTGCTGCGTCTGCACAGCCTTCCCAAAGGTGCCCGATGCAGGGGGAGTTACTGCTGCTGCTTCGGGAGATCCAGGCTGAGTTTTAGTTGTTTCTTTGTGGGGTGAGTCTTTAGAGTCTGAAAGATTACCTGAAAGAGCAAACAAAACACATGCAGCGGCAAATACTAAGAAACCACTGAATAAAAATCCATGCCTAAAAATAATAGTTACTTTGCCACCAAGAGGAACAGCGGTTCACAATTCTGACGTACTGTATGAAGCACAGACTTTATGGATAGCCTGCACCAGAATATTACCTACACGCACTATCGCTGATCCAGTTTCTCTAAGAAGCTTATGGAGTAGGTTTGATTTTTACAGTTTTCTGCATTTTTCAGAAAGGCTGGAGTCAGGACCTCACAAGGAGCGCTGCTGAAATAAAGTGAGAACCGCAGAAGTGCCTAAGTAGGAGGATTGAACGCACAGAATGACTGAGCAAAGACGTAGGTTTGCTCCCAAACATGAAAGGTGAAAGCAAACAAATGGAGAGGAATGAAAAGTTTGTGCAAAGACACGAGGAACTTTATAGCCATCTATATATAGATACATGTCTGTAGAGAAACATCTGTATCCATATATCCACCTGTGTACCTGTGTGGATATCTCAGGCTTTACCACCAGAATACCTTTGCAATCATTTGTTGCATGGATTTATCAGCAAAAGCATCTAACAGTGGGAATGACAATTACATCAGTAACCGTATTAGGAACTGCCTGCCCTTGATCCCCGAGAAAGCACCTTAGGATGGCCATAAAATGAGGAATCTACATAGTCAACGGCAAGATAACTTAGGCATGAATACAGATTCTCAAAGAAAACATGAACTTCACACAGTGCCTGAGAAAATGGAAAACACCACAGAAGAAATGCAAGGAGGAAAGCATGCACCAAAGTAGCAGTCTGAGCAGATTTCTGTTCTCTAACTGAAGATGATCAGGGGATAAAAAAGGAAAATTGGGACATTTTATGCAGAAATAAGCTTAAATTCTTTGGACTAGGGTAGCACACTGATATGAGCCAAAAATCTGTGAGTGGAGACAGATGTGGGGTTTGTGAATAGACAGAGGGGAAAATGGCTAGAGAGAACCCAAGAACAAACTGGAAAATGAATGGACCAAGGATAACAGACATTCAGAGTACCTCATCACCAGGAAAGGAAGTAAAACCTATGCACGTCAGCCGAGCAGCAAAGAGGTATAAAGCATTGACCATTGCTTCAGTTCTTATAGGCAAGAATACTGAGATTCAAGATGGATCACAGAACATCTTGCCTCCCAATACTTCCTCTTTGCTTTTCCTATCTCAGCTGAAATCCTTAAAAGCAAAATCCTCCAAAACAGTCTGTCTATAATTAAGATTGATGCGATGAAATTCAAAGTGGACCTATGATGAAGTAGCTTTGAAAACAAGAGCTATCAGCTTTGAAATCCAGGGTTAATGCTGGAACTGCTGCTGCTGCTCTAAATAACAGCATGAACTAAGTTGAAGAAAAATTATTTATATCCTATTGTACATTTTGCTGAAGATATAGGTACTGGGCTATATCAGCATTTCCCAGTTGAATTATATCTTTATATTTTCCAAAGAGATAATGACTCAAGATTGTACTACTGTTTGAAAAATCTCAAACTACTTCAGATGGTCAAAGCATCCATCACAGTTTTATACCTGTTTTTACCTCCCATCCTTTGGGGGAGCAAATGAAATCCAATCTTATTTATATGGCATCTTGCAGGAAAAAAATAAACAACAACAAGATAGAGCCCATAATCAGTAGAGGATAACAGCACCTAAGAAGTGAATACAAACATCAATAAATTGCATTTGGAGAAAGGATGAGAAAGTGTAACCAGGCTGCATTCCAAATTAAAGTGGAATATTGTTTCTCTGCCAAGCATTGTAACCGATGCAGAGAAGGTATGTATGGTGCGGCACTGGGCGGCTGTAATAGGCCTGTCCCAAAGAAGCTCACTTCAAAACCAGTTCACGGTACGTGAACTTGAGTCACAGTATTAAAACCCAATAAAAATTCAGTGCCTTTCCTGCAGTCTGTACAACTACACAGCAGAACCACCACTGACACAAAGAACAGGCATATGGAAAGCAACCTAGTGTTGTTTGTACCTACTTGTGCTTGATGTTCCACTCCTGAGCTGCTGGACCAGAGGGTTTAGTAGTTTTCCACCTTTCAATTTATTTTTGCTGGTTCTTCGGCGACGGCCGCTTGGTGGGGCTGAGTGAAGGAACCCCAAATTGGGAGGAAGGGGTTTCCCTAAGCGAATATACAGTGCCTCTATCTCATTCTTCTGCTGAGTCTGAAGTTCAGCAATTTCTTTCATATGCCTAAACATAAAAAATAAAGAACTCTGCTAGCGATGTATTGGATAAAGCACCACATCTCGACAGTATAATTAGTTATAAAAAAAGAAACAAACCAGTCTTTGGTTATAAAACAATCAACTACTCATCCAAAAGTATGTGAAGTTTTAACAATCTACCTGGCAAATGTGGTGACTGACTGCTCAAATATTCATTCATAAGACAGAATCCTAGACAGCTAGAAAGATTTTCAACATCCTCAGTAAAAACAACTGATTTTGACATGGGATCTGACAGGAGCTCCAAACTATTCCAGAATCTCTCTCTTCAAACCAGTGGCTCAAAGAAGTTAATCCTCAAGGAATGTACATGAGTTTGGAGTTCAACATGAAGAAAAACAAAAGCGCTTCCAGTAAAAATGGCACTGGCACATGAATCGTTACCTTATTTATAATGCAGATTTCATGATGCCATAAAGTCAGCTTAAAGGTTTTCTATTACTGTAGTTCTGTTTTAAAGAGATGCATCATCTGTATTCAGTAAAACCATTATACCTTAAAGTTTAACATTTTTGTTAAACTAGCATCTAACACTAGTTTTTACCCATCACCTGCCCGGACAGAAAGAAAACGTTCACAATTCAAGCAGCTAGCTCTCAGGACTGGCAGCACAACGCTCTCCTGCCAGGCTCAACCAGCCTCCTGCTGAGACTGGACCGATGTCTTGATGAGAGCCAATGGGAGGCAAAGTGAAGAGCCTTACCTGCCTAACAGACAGTAGCTTATCTACTGTAAAACTGAGTCTGGGAATAGTGATGGGTCTGTAGACCTGACAGTCTAAGTCACCCCTTGCAGAGAAGGGCATGAAGAGAACACTAGGGCAGCTGTCTGCACAGGCACCCAGATTATTTTTATGCCACCTTAAATAGTGTCCACATGGGAACCTACCATCACATACCTTACAAGTGCTATTGTTTGCCACCACATCAACATAGCTTTTCAGTAAGGAAACTGGACATCGCAGCTGAAACGCTTTGGGGTTTAAAGAAGTTATTATGGAATTATCCTTCTAAATGGAATTGACAAAGTGATGCATAAAAGGATGCAGCATGACATCTGGGAGAAGGTCCTAGCCATGCCTAATTTGCCCAGAACCAGTTTACTCATTATAGCTATGAACACCAGGTATTTGCTCATCATATGCAGAGGTGCTGCCTAGATATCTTAACACAAGCTTTCCTAGCATTGTTTGCAAACCCAACATACTTTTCTCTCAGGTTCTGCAATTCTTTCTTCATATCTGCATCTTCAAATTCCGAGTCGTTGTCGCTGCTCATGTATGACGACTGCGAGTGGAAAGATGTTATGTTGATGGTAGGAATTTTTGTTCCTTGCCCGTTAGGTGAATCAAGGCCCGGCGAGCTGCCTTTGCTAGTTCTTTGCAGAAAAGCAGCTGCTTTTTTAATTAAGTCAGTGGCTGCACTACTGCTCGGGGGGGACAGCTGAGCAGCAGCAGCCGACTGACGATGGAAAGGCTCATCAGCAGAATCACTTGAACCCTGGTCACAGAGGACATCAACAGAAGAGGCTGTCTGCACCCGTCGGACAGCTGTCTTCAGATCAGGGCTGGAAGGTAGCTCATCCAAATAGACGTCTGGGGGTGCCGAGAACCTTAAGCAGTGCGGAGCTGCTAAAGTTAATTCATCTTGCGTGCTGATTACTGAAAACCTGCCAATAGTTTTGGCTGGTGTACCGCTATCATGAGTTTCAGCCTGTTTTCCATAGGAACCAGAGTCTAGAGAGTCATCCCTTTGAAGGTTATTTATCACCCCATCTGCTGTAGATATCTGCATTACGTTATCTGTGTGTGCAGACAAAGTCATAGTCTTTGCCTTCTCGCTCCTTTTAGAAGTTTCCATCTGTTTAGTTATGCTTGATGATGTAGGTGCAACCTGGAGAAAATAATAGAGATTAAATTTGAAAGTAACTGTAGAAATTAAGCATAAAACTGCTCCTAGCTTCTGGTTACCTGAAGGAGGTTGGTTGTTGTAGCAGCAGGAGCTGAAGTGATGCTTGCAGCTGAACCTGTTTTACAAGTTGGAAAAAAATAATATTAATTTCTGGAATACTTTAGTATAACAAAAGCCGACATGTTTACTGTGACAGACTGAAGTGTGATAAAGCGTAGCACTGAAGAATAATTTAACTATCCAATCTTTGTAATACAGGATTTGTAATGCAGGAGGCGATATCAATGACAACATAAAATATTTGCAGGTAGTCACTCCCTTCAAGCTATTGATTTGGGGAATTCAAGTAATAATGGACTGTGTAATTTCATTAGTCAGTTGAAAATTTTTAAGGCGAAAACCAGAAGAATGCAATCTGCATGATATATTGGGCCTGCATTACTAAGGTGTTCTTGATGTCTCAAAAAAGTAATTGCACTCTGCTATTCATGCATACAAAATGCTGCAGTTGACCACAGACGGACTGGTATTTCACAGCTTTCATTTGACAGGTACTGACACCAACAATTAAAAGTGCCTGAAATGAAGTTAAATGCACATTGCTGAAAGTGGAAATCATAAGCTCAGAAGATGGCTGCTCGGAGCACACAAGCAGCAAAGTATTAGTGATGGTCATCAAGACATGATTATTTCACAACCTGGACACTGGTTTTGAAGTTTTTGAACCAAAAAACACAAGCACATTGCACAGAGTGAACATAAGGCAAAAATCTGTCACTTCGTAGTTCTGAAATGGTGAAATATATCACTGCTTGATGGTATCTAAGATACATCAATTTTACTACAGAGTGCTACATTCCACTTGCATACTCTCTTCTTTGCCTGTAGCAAGACAGATGAATGCAGAGGCTACCCAAAGCCTTCCCCTCTCACACTGACCTAAAAGCAGTGGACAACCTACGTCCACCAGGACAAGAATGATCTACATTGTCACACAAACCTGGTAGCCAGCTTTGCCATGACAATCTCAAAAAAAAGCCCCATATTATAAGCCCTCCCCAACCCCACCCATGACAGCAGGAGCAGTTTTGGATTCCTCAGCCCTTAAAACTTCCCATGACTTGCAAGACAGGTAAATGGATCATGATAAATACCCAGTTTCTTAATATGGTTCCTACTAGGTTATTATAGGAAGTGCCATTGTATCTACAAGTACCTAGAGAAAATTATTCTTTACTAGTTCTCTGTGGGACTTCCTTGATAATCTTACAGGCTTCCCCCCAGAGGGGCTACCCTCAATCATGTTATTTTTGTCAAGACGTTTTTATGAAACCCAGGAAATCCACAGGACTTTCTGTTTGGACTTTTTAAAGGCACTGGAAATTTATTGTTGATAACATAGCCTTCCATGTGAATACCCTACAGCTACATCAGTGACACATATTACATATTTATGGTTTAAAATAAATCCGCCTGTGAGGCAGTTTCTTTCCAGAAAGCTTGACAGAAGCAAGATGTTTAATATTAGTTATATTACAAATAGGATCAGAAATGGCTCGTGCTGGGCAGTGCTCTGCAGTTAAGCAGAAGGGTGAGCAGCAAGGGGACACCAGAGAAGAGGACCATGCACTCGTACAGATGCAACACTGCTGTTCATCATGGAAAGGAGCTTTACCTTTTCTGCTTGCTGACCCACCTCTGGCTTCTGAGGAATGAGCACCGATGCTGGTGACCTCCAACTTCTCAAACTTTCATTAAAAAGAGAAAAGAAAAAGAATTTCAGTCTCACACACTCAAGCAGAAAGGCAATGCATTCTCCTTCCCTCTCTCCCTCTCCACCCTCACACTGTTGTGGAATATTAAACTATTTTACAGTGGTCTGTGGAGGTGGCCTTCTAGATCTTCCTTCAACTCCTGCATTTATTTTCCTCACTTAGAAGGAAAAAAGCAGTGGCAGTGTCAGAGGGAACTGCAGCTTAAGTTACTAAGGAACAGGCACTAAACATTTTGGGGTTTAGTTCTGGTTTTCTTTGCCAGCCAGACTGTACATTCTTCATCTGTATGTCTGTCTGCAGAAGTTCTATGCCTCTCTTCTTATTGGCACAGATTTTAATAGGACAAATTCAAATTACTGGAGAGACATAACACCTTTCATAGAGAGAGAGTTATCTACTGTAAGAAGTCACTTACTATAAACAGTATGCTCTAAAGAGTTACTCAAGTGCAGCCGTCTTTCCTTTAACATACAGCATCTTCAAGCAGTTGATACAGTTCATTCAGCTGACACAACATGGAACAGCCTCAGCCTTGCTAGTGGTGATATAATTATCTGCAGAAATGCTACTTTTCAAGATATATACTGATCTTCCAGCAGAAAGTGCTGCAAATCTGCTGAATCTCAAAACCTCAGGATTTTATCTAAAAGATTGCAACACAGGTGCACAATCTAGACACTGAGTGTGACCCAGACCACCTGCTCCAGCTTTCCTGAGAGGCATCCCAGTGAAGCCTTGCTCTGCCAAGTTCAGGGGAACACAAAATAAATCATTACTGGAAGCAGAGCAAGCTGCTACCTGTGGAGTGTCTTCCTTTAGGTGCAGCACTTGAACAAAGCAAAAGCCCCTGAAGTGTTTATTTTATTCAGACTGACTTTGAAGGCAGGTATTATAATCACTGCCATTAATTTATATATAAAAAAATCCTACTGAAGCATGATCATCTTCATCAGAACTTGAATGACTATAATCCCTTGTGTGTTTTACATTCTTAAACTACAAAAAAAAATTATCACCTTTCTGCCCATTTTAGGAACAGGACACAAGAGGAGGAGAATGAATTATGATATTATACCACTTTTAAACCCAAAGGAAAAGTTTGGCTTTCACTAACAAGCATTTATGTAAAATGAGTCAGAATACATCTGACAGTAAAAATTTAAGAGAACTTTCACACTGGGGAGCAGTCAACAGACAAAAGGTAGTATACCCAGGAGCAGAAACGTAAAATGTTTATAAAGAAGCGAGAAATCTATGCATGTCCTACCACAGGCTCGTCGGTTCTGAGCTCTGCTTTGGTGCCATCCCCAGCAGCTGGATCTGGGGGTACGAAGGGCAGAGTCATTGCTGGACTAACCAGTATGGGGTAGGACGAGCTCTCCGATGGTACGAGTGGCACTGGCTGGGCCTCGGCAGCAGCTTTCACCTCCTGGCCGCTATCTGCTATGCTATGGCCTGGTTCTCTCAAATCCAGCGCCAAGGCGGGGACTTGATCTTGGGGAAACGGCGGCAAGTTAAATTCACTATCGCCCTGTTCTAATGGGACAGAGGTGTCTGGAGTCCCTGCTGATGCAGAAGAAGTAGGAACGTATTCCTGGTAAAGCAAATTCCGCAATTTCTCGTCAAGGCTTTTTATTGTGTTGTCAACAAAGTCCACCCTGGGTGGTCCCTCTCCATCGGACTCGGCAGTGCTCGGCTGCTGCTGTTTCAATCGGGTGGATCCAACACCGGGGCC